TGACCATTAATGGCATTGATGATGTCCTCCAGAGGGCATCCTTGCTCAAATCCTTTTTCCAGACCCATGACATCATTGATGACTACAGTCAAACTGGAATTGCCTGTTTCAATTTCATATGGTGTATACTACATGAACAAACACAAATTACATGACATAATTAAAACAAACACATTCACACACTCGTGCAATCTATTGTATTTGGACCTTCTGTGAGGCGCATGAGGTGGATATATAATGTGAAAACAAACTTACGTCAACTGTAAAACTCGTACTACCAATTGTATTACTCAGTGCATCGCTGGTTATCCGTCCTTTGAAGGCATTATTAATAGAGTTTATGAAACTTGATTTCCCTGAACCATTTGGGCCGACAGTTAAGATCCTTAAGTATTTCAGATCATTTTTGCATGGTTTGATCTCTTTTATGGTTTGTATTAAGGAGTCCTTCTTTTGCTTCCTGTACAAAAAGAACAATATGCAAGGAATAGTTCACCCAAAAATGAAAATTATCCCATAATTTACTCCCTCAAGCCATCCTTGGTGTATAAGCCTTTCTTCTTTCAGACGAACACAATGGCAGGTATATTAAATAATATCCTGGCTCTTCCCAGCTTTGTAATGGCAGTGAATGGTGCCTGAGTTTTTGAAGCTCCAAAAAGTGCATCCATCCATCCTAAAAAAAATCTATACGACTCCAGTGGGTTAATAAATGCCTTCTGAAGCAAAGTGATTGTGTTTGTCTAAAAGAAGAAAGGCTAGTAAACCTAGGATGACTTGAGGGTGAGTAAATCATGGGATAATTTCCATTTTTGGATGAACTATTCCTTTAAAAAGGGAAAATGTAAAACATATTTTTAGAACTCAGTAGTCCATTCTACATTTTAACTAAATTTTCAGATACCAAAACACATTAATAAGCAGAGTTAAAAAAAAATGGAACTCAAAAGACACGGTCGGTAAAGCACAAATCCAACGATTCAGGAGATATCAGTATGAGGCAGTATAGTTAAGAAGTGATTATAAATAGTTTCACTCTTTTTCATGTTATTGTGTTATGAAACCATAATCTTAAAAATGTATGCTGATCGAGTTAGTCAGCTAACTGCTGACTTCCAGGAAACACATGGAACAAACCCCCAACTAGTGTTTCTCCATGGAGTTTCAAATTCTTCTGTGGGAGAAAAATGCCTAATTTTAGTAATAAATTAGTTTAACTTTCTAGGTTGACAAAGATATATTAAAGGGGTCTTATGATGCTATTTTAAAGATCATTATTTTGTGTATTTGGTGTAACAGAATATGTTGACATGCTTTAATGTTCAAAACACACATTATTTTTCAAATACTGTACATTATTGTAGGTCCTCTATGCCCCGCCTCTCTTAAACACTTCGGTTTCAACAAAGCCCCCTCCTTTGACAAGCGCAGTCTGCTCTGATTGGCCAGCTGACCCAGTGCATTGTGATTGGCCGAACACCACAAGCACGCGTCGGAAATGTAACGCCCCTTACCATAATCATGAGCGTCAGCTTTCAAAGTAAATATCAAGACAGTTAATAATGTTGTTAGTTTTACCATCCGTTCAAGCCCGTAAGGGCAACAGAGTCGCGTGACAGACACAGTGATGATGCAGTACACAAGCCGCGGTAAAGACAGCTGACGTGCTATGATTTTTGACAGACGGTTCACTCTCCTGTGATGTGTCCCTGTTCCCCTCACACACACACACGACGCGTTACTCTGCGCTGCGCAAAACTCCGCATTTGAACAGTCAATAGCAAAT